CCCCTGCTCCCTGTCCCCTGACTGCTCCAATCCCTCTCCACACCCCCACCCCCTGACAACCTCCCCCGCAGAACTCCTGACCCATCCAACCCTCCCCCTGCTCCCTGACTGCCCCCCCGTGACTCCCCTAACCATGCCCATGCTGGTCAGACGCTGGCTCCATGTGGAGGCAAAACACCGCATGCACAGCCCCTCCCCTGCAGAGTGCTGAGGCAGCGGGAGCGGGGAGCTCTGGGAGGGGCAGCAGTGATGGCAACTCACATGCCCGGGAGTCGCAGAGCCCGAGCGGGACTAGGGGGGACCTGGGGGGTGCACAGGGGCCGGCGCCCACATGCATCTGCTGCAGCTTGCAGGAGCCCCTGGGGGTGGGGGGGCGCCAGGCCGCAGCCTGGGCAGGCGGAGCGGGGGGCCCGGCTAGACCCAGCTAGCGGCGCCGCCGCCTTTGCAGGGCTGCTGCCCCTGTGCGCCACGCCGACTCCTCCATGGCTGGGGCTCGCCGCCCCCGCAAGCCAATGCTCTGGCTCTCCGGTGCCTCCGGGAGGCGGCTCCTCCCTGCCGAGCCAGGGCACCGCTTTTTGGCGCCCCCAACCACTTGGCGCCCTGGTGGTTGCACCAGCCCTGGACATAGTCTGTATTTCCACTGCCTGTGTTCAGAGCGGGCCTCTGGCTCATGGTGCAGGGCTGGGGGGAGGATGCAGTTGCCAAGATGGTGCAAAGTTCACCCTGTGCACTCTCCCAATCCTGTGAGCAGAGATAGTCATTGATTAGAGCACTCGCCGGGCGACACTAGTGGCCCCAAGGGAACCAAACGGCATCCCAGCCACACTCCCCTAGCCTCTGTATTGGCTCTTTGCCACCTGAACATGCTCCCAGCCTGGCATGACTCTCCCTGGGCTAGTTACGCTGGCTCTGTCTCCAGACCGCCCCAGTGCCCAGCGCCAAGTGGCTGCTCCACACTGCAGGGGCCAGCCTGTCGTGTGCAGCAGCTCTCCGTTAATGATCTCTGCGATGGCCCCTGGGGACGGGGTCTGGGCTGTTTCCAGTACGTTTTCACTGTGATGCGTGTGTCCGTCCATCCTTAGATCTGTCTGGGATTCGTGCAGTTTGGCTTCGTTGCCATCTACCTCTCGGAATCCTTCATCCGGGGCTTCATGACTGCAGCAGGGCTCCAGATCCTCATCTCGGTGCTCAAATATGTCTTTGGCTTGACGATCCCGGCCTACACTGGGCCCTTGGCCATCGTCTATGTAAGTGAGCTCGCTGGGGTAGGGACCTTCTCTCCACACCTCGGCCCAGGGGCTAGCACGCTGCAGACACTGCATCAGCAAATACATGGGGACGTTACTTAATGAATCCTAAATCAAATGAGCAGAGGGCTGAGAGGGTGCAAGCACATGGCAGTCCGCTCCATTCCCAGCACTCTCAGCTTGTACCCAGGGTCCCTTGTGCCGCTACTGTCATAAATAAAACCACAATCAGACCTGAGCCCTGATCGTTTTTAATTATTACCATTGATGAGTCTTGGAAGGAATATTAGCCCTCCTGCTTCAGGGCACGAGCCAGCCTCTAGCTATTAGGGGTCGGGGGAAACTACCTGTGGCTGCAGGTTATCCCATAAATATGACCTCTTGCGCCTTCCTCTGATCCATCTGGTACTGGCCACTGTCAGAGATGGGACACTGAAATAAATGGTCTTCTGGTCTGGTCCAGCCTGGCAGTTCCTCTGAGGCGACACTGCTGGATTGACCTTAGACTGTTTAGGTTTGGAATCACAGAATCAGATGAGTCAGCAGAGAGTCGGGCATGTCAGAGCGTCCCTGGGGCCGATGCAGGAAAATCCAAACCTACAATCCCTAGAGACACCTCCATGATTTTTAGTATTCCAATGAACGTAGGTATTCCGTCTGGATTTAAACATTTCCCAGCATTCTTTGCCAGTCAGGTGCTGCAGCACTGGGGAAGTGGATGAGAATCAGGGACTGGGAAAAAAAAAAGAGACCCATATGGGGTTGATCCACATTTCATCCGCCTCTGACTGATATATGGCAATGGAGTGACCGTGGCATAAGACTGGTATGAGAGGGGAATCAGGCCCTGGTGAATCTATTTTCACTGTCCCAGATGAGCGAAATAACACAAAAAAGGATGCAATCAGCACTAACGATGGAACATAAATGAGCGGGTTTTTTTTTTCAAATGCTTTGAGTTTCAATAATCAAAGATGTCATTAGGGGCATGGGTAAGGGCACTGAATGTTTTTAAATATATAGGCCCAGATCCTCAACGGCTATGAATGGGGTAGCTGCACTGAAGTCAGTGGAGATGTGCTTTACGCGAACTTGAGGAGATGGCCACGCCCCTCTCTGGGGCCGATCCATAGTCCTTTCCATTGACTTCCGCGGGTCCTATGCACCTGGAAGTTTGGCTGCGTAACTGAAGTAGCCAGACACAGAAGCAGGCTGTCTTGGGATTTCTGGTGCTTGTTTCATTCCCCAGTGCCTGTTTCATATGCTCAGAGCAGGGGGGCTGGAACGGAATGGCTGAGAGCCATTGAACCAAACTGTAAACCCTGGATATGATGGAAATCACTTCAAGCCAGAGGGTGCAGCAGCACCTCCAGCACCCCTAGTTCCAGCACCTGGGGCTCAGAGATGTCCATGGGGAGGCCAGAATGGGCTGGGGGGGTGTTCGCTGCTTTGCCCACTGGAATTCCAAGTAGCCCTTCTCAACATTTTGCTGACGGCTGTCCCTTCTCCCCCCTCTAGACATTTATTGATATTTGCAAAAATCTCCCCAAGACCAACGTGGCCTCCTTGATCTTCGCCCTGATCAGCACTGTGCTCCTGATTATTGTGAAAGAGCTCAACATGAAATACATGAAGAAGATCCGGGTGCCCATCCCCATGGAGATTGTCATAGTAAGTGACACCCGAGCTCTGTCATCCTCTGTCCATTAGAGAGGAAACAACCTTTCCCTGAAAGAGCCTTTTCCCCTCATCTCTTCCCAGCCTTTGCAGGAAGGTGCCTCTCTAGGACAGGCAGGGAAAGAGCCTAGATTTCAAAGCACCCTTGCTTTGACACCTGGTGAGGCATGATGTCGGACTCAGGGCACCTGCATGGCTTGGATGCTTGGGGAAGCAGGAGGCACCGGCAGTGTCACTCTAATTAGACTTTTTGGTTGCGGTTCAGGGGGGCTCGCACCGCTGAGCCCAGTGCACCAGTGCCTGCTTCACGTGGTCATTTACACCAGGACGAAGTGGGTGTAGAGCACTACACTTCTGATTTGGTTGCCTTTTACACCCTGCTCTGACTTTTACACCCTGCACTGACCGGGTGCACAATTCAAGGGCGACGGGACACCGGGGCCCCTGAGTTTGGCTGCAGTTTCAGAAATTCAGCAGCTCCAGAATCTCCGAGAGAAGCTGCTGACCCCACTGAATTTCATGTCAGAACGAGGGTTGGGCCTGAGTCAGAACATTTGGCTCGAGGACCCCCAAATCCCAGGTGGGTGTGTGACGGATTCAGTCACCCTGTTGTGGTTCATCTCTAAGTGAAACCATGACAAACTATACATCTCCCCAGCCCCCACAGAGCCACAGCGGGTTAGGTTCATATCTGCAGAGGCCTTGCCAGCCGCATTCCAGCTGTGAGCTCTCTCTCAACCATATACGGACTAAGTCTCCCCTCAGAGCATGTGTAGAATGGCCACAAGCTTCCATGGGGGAGGGAATGTTACCGAGATTTTAGGACAGGAAACTAGGGGTCAGGAACTTTGGGTTCTATTCCTCACTATCCCAGCTCGCTGCTATTTCAGGGCTCTGTCTCAGTTGACGTGACTGATCAACCTTGTCTTGTGTGGCTCCAGTAATACTCATCAAGTGCTTGGATATCCTGTGATGAAAGGGGATAGGGAAGCCCAAGTATTATTATATCCTCAAGAGGAGGAGAAAACCTCCCCCGCATTGTTTCTTCCTCATATTTTGGATTGCCAGCGCACTCCTTTAACGTCAATGGGGGTAAACTAATCCGTGACATAAACGGACATAACACCCATTGAAGCAGATGGATGTTTCTCCCGCTTGATCCAGGGCTGAATTTGGCTTTACAGGTATCGTTCTCGTCTGTAGTAGGCATTAGCCACTATCTCACCATCCCGCACAGCTAAGTCCGTGCAACGCTGCGTAAGGATCTGACAATGCTACTTCCCCTTACAGCTCCTTTACTCTCTGTGATTTCAGGTCATAGTAGCTACCGCGGTCTCCGGCTGCTTGAACATGCCTGAGAAATACAACATGCCAATCGTTGGGAAGATTAAGATGGGGTAAGTGCGCCTGCAGGCCTGAATCCATTTCCAAGGGCTGATTCCTTCTGGACCAGGGATAGTCCCCTACCAGCCCGTGCTGCAATCTGGGATACAACCCCCACAGAAGTGAGGGATAACGAAGGACACTGCCTGCTGAAATAGAGAACTCAGTGAAAGGAACACCATTTTATTACTGACCTTCGCCCTGTTTACTGAGGTTCCTCCGTAGCTCTCCCTGAGTGATTGCCTTGTCCTCAGCGAAATCTATGCCCCTAACAAACAGCCTCATGCAGAAAGGCACCACTGGGCACTACGAGGGGGTAGAGAGGGGTTCCACCCTGGTTCCGGTTCTGCACAAGGCTGAATGTGACCTTTGTCTCCAGTGGGGTATGTACAGTGACCGCAGGAGACCTGGGTTTGCGTCCCAGATCTACCACAGCCTCCCTGAGTGACCTTGGGCAAGTCATTTTATCTTCCCAGGCCTTGGTTTCCCATCTGGGAAATGTAAAATCCTCCCTTCCTTTGTCTGTCTTATACTTTGTGTCTGTGCAGCACCCAGCACTATGGGGCAACAGTTTCTGCTGGGGCCGCTAGGCGCTACCATAATACAAGTTACTTGTAACAAGTAATAATAACTACAGCAGGGAGCGACTGTCTTTTGTGATTGGTATCCAAAGAGGGCACTAATTTGCCTGAGCATTCGTAAATCATCCTACAATATCCTAGGATAAGGACTAACCCCAGGCGGTAGCAATAGCCCTGCAGCACTGCACTCAGATACCATTGTGCAGGGTGAGGCATAAGAACCAAAATAGAACAGAATCTAGGCCAGGTTGGAGTGGAAAATGTCTCCTAATCCTTCTTTCTTTACCTGAGTCAATGCATTAGTGGATTATAAAGGGCAGCATATAATTACCAAGCTATAATTGTGCAAAGCATACAGTACTGCGCTGCACAATCTTATAATTACAAGGGACACACAGCACCAGTCCTGTGTTGAAATAATAAACAAGGCTAGAGTTGGGATTGTGTCTAGGATATTATTCAGCATGTGCAAAGCACGGTAAGTTCTGTAAGTCTGGGGATCACGTTGGTATTCTTTGTAGAGATATATTCCATTTAGGTTCAATTGGAATGTTGTGTTTCAATTATTCTATCAGAGAGACAAGCTGGGAGGTAATATCCCCGGATATTAGAGAGACCAGGTGGGAGGTAATATCTTTTCTTGGCCCAACTTCTGTTGGTGGAAGAGACACGCTTTTGAGGCACTCCGCTCTTTTTTCTTCAGTCCTGAAGCAGAGCTCTGTGTAAGCTTAAAGGCTTGTCTCTCTCCCCAACAGAAGTTGGGCCAAGAAAAAATATTACCTCCCACCTGGTCTCTCTAATATCCGGGGACCAACACAGCTACAATGACACTGCATATTATACTATATCATATACAATAAAAGTCAAAATGAAAAAGTTGTTTCAAAATGAGAAAGTCAAAACATGGTTTCAACCTTATCAAAATGAATCGTTTTGATCTTTTTTCAAAATGAAATTTCATCGACATTGTCTCATTCCTGTGAAATGTTTCGATTTAGTCAAATTTTCTGACTCTTCCACTGGAAAATTTTTGAGGAGCTCTCATTCTTTGGTGTTGGTGATGCAGTTCCTGGCACTCCTCTCTTGGTTGGTTCTGAGCCAATGGCTCTGCATGGCACTAGAGGGGGCTGTGTTGCTTGGAGGTGCAGTCTTTCAGATTAAAGAGAGAACAAAAGATGTGGTCACTTGAGATCATTTAAAATCCTCTGGCACTTTTTGCAAAAGCCCCAGCATCCTGACCAAATCCCAGCTGGAGTCCACTGACCTAAATTTCCCTTGCAGTTTCATTTGGATGGGTCATTCTTCACTCATTTTCCTGAACAGTTGCGCAGTGCTGCTGTGCACTGTTAAACAGCTGCTGTGTTCCTCCCAGAGGTGACTGCATTTTAGTAGTGGGTGAAGTGAATCCTGTATATATAAAGTCAAATCCTGGTCCACTGGCTCCATCTCTAAACACCTATGTCCTGACAGCTTTCTCCTCTATTCTTTGGCTGCAGCTTCCCAGTCCCCACACTCCCACTGGTGAGCAAGTGGAAAGATATGGTTGGCACAGCTTTTTCACTTGCCATTGTGGGCTACGTGATCAACCTGGCCATGGGACGAACCCTAGGAACCAAACATGGCTATGACGTAGACCCCAACCAGGTAACATTTATTTAAAGGGATATAGTCAAGATCAGGGGTGGGCAAACTTTTTGGCCCAAGGGCCACATTGGGGTTGCGAAACCGTATGGAGGGCCGGGTAGGGAAGGCTGTGCCTCCCCAAACAGCCTGGCCCCCACTCTTTATCCACCCCCTCCCACTTCCCGCTCCCTGACTGCCCCCCTCAGAACACCTGACCCATCCAACTCCCCCTGGTCCTTGTCCCCTGACAGCCCCCCCAGGACCCCACTGCCTATCCAACCCCCACTGCTCCCTGTCCCCTGACTGCCCCGACTCCTATCCACACCCCTGCCCCCTGACAGGCCCCCCCCAGGCAGGGCCACCCAGAGGATTCAGGGGGCCTGGGACAAAACGGGGGAGCGGACATACTCACTGGGCGGCACTCCGAGTCTGCGGCGGCGGCGGGTCCTTCACTCGCTCCACGTCTTCGGCAGCACTGAAGGACCCGCCGCCAAAATGCCGCCGAAGATCCGGAGCAACTGAAGGGCCCCCCGCTGCCGAAATGCCGCCAAAGACCCGGAACGCTGCCAGGTGAGTAAAAATTTAAAAGGCGCCTCTAGCAGGGATTCTTGGCCAGGGCTCGTGGGGCCCCTGCGGGGCCTGGGACAAATTGCCCCACTTGCCCCCCCCCCCGGGTGGCTGTGCCCCCGGGACTCCCATGCCTACTCCAACCCCCCCTGTTCCCCATCCCCTGACTGCCCTCCCCCGAACCTCTGCTCCATCCAACCACCCCCTGCTCCCTGTCCCCTGACTGCCCCCCGGGAACCCCTGCCCCTTATCCAACTCCCCTGCCCCGCTCCCCACCCCTTACCATGCTGCTCATAGCAGCAGGAGCTCACAGCCCCACCGCCCAGCCGGAGCCAGACACACCGCTGCATTGCCTGGCAGGGTGGTGGGCCAGAGCGCTGGCGGCGCGGCGAGGTGAGGCTGCGGGGGAGCGGGGACAGCAGGGGAGGGGCCGGGGGCTAGCCTCCCCGGCCGGGAGCTCAAGGGCCATAGTTTGCCCACCTCTGGTCAAGATGCTGCTGGGTATAATGGATGTGAAAATGGAAGCCTATTTAATAAGTTGGGAGCTTTTAAACACACTCTGTTTCTTTGAAATTTGTGTCTCTCTCTCCTGCGCTCAGACTTGCATAGTGGTAGGGTTGCTCATGAATCCGGGGCTAAGTGCACTGGTTTGTTGTTGTATGCAGATTGTCTGTGGGCTAGAGGGAGATTGTACAGGATTGGGGGGAGTTTGGGGTGTGATCCCCCTGCTTTGCTTTCCCTCCACGACAGTCCCACCTCTCTCTCTCCTTCCGCCCAACTGACCGCATCGGGAGGCCTCCTTTCCCAGGCACCCTAATATCAGGGCTCCCTGATCTGCTCGAGACCTATGCAAGGAAACAGTTGCACGTGCGACAGAAGGCACACCCCTGATCAGCACACGGCTCTCTGTTCCGGCCATGTGTTTCAGGCAGAGTGCGAAGGAGGGGAAGACTATTGCCTGTCTGACTCATGCAGAACGCACCCTTGTAAAGATGTTAGATTCATTTGGGATTCCAAACGTTTGTTATTCCTCATTTTCCCTCCTTTTTAAAATGCCTCTGCAGCTGGTCGCAGACACAAATTAAGGCAGGATATTTGGGAACTGGGTCCAGCTATCAGCCTCACTGCAGCACTGAATCATCCAGAAGCGGTGAAACACCTGGGGAAAGGACCTAGACCAGTGGTTCTCAAACTTTTGTACTGCTGACCCCTTTCATACAGCAAGTCTCTGAGTATGACCCCCCATTATAAATTAAAAACACTTTTTTTATATTTAACACTATTATAAATGCTGGAGGTGAAGCAGGGTTTGGGGAGGAGGCTGACAGTTTGCGACCCCCCCACGTAATAACCTCATGACCCCCTGAGGGGTCCTGACCCCCAGTTTGAAAACCCCTGACCTAGACAGACAAATGACACCAGAGGAATGGGGTTTGATCTGGAAAGGAGGACTAGCAAGCACAGTCTGTAGCACAATAAAAGAAAATGTCTTTAAGATACTGTTTCAATGGTATCTCAAACCCATCAGGCTAAAAAATACATAGCGATTGAATAGGGATAAATGTTGGAGAAACTGCAGTGAAAGAGGAGATTTTATGTATATACGGGGGGAAGGCGGTGAGCCCGCCGCGGCTCCGTTGGCGGCCGGAGCACCAGGAAGAGGGCGGAGAGCCTGGCCGGGGCCCCGCTCTCCCCGACTGGCTGGAGTGCCGGGAGGAGGGCGGAGAGCCTGGCCGGGGCTCCGCTCTCCCCGGCGGCCAGAGCGCCGGGGGGAGGGCGGCGAGCCGGCCGGGGCTCCGCTCTCCCTGGCGGCCAGAGCACCGGGGGAGGGCGGCGAGCCCGCTGCGGCTCCACTCTCCCCGGCGGCCGGAGCGCCGCAGGGAGGGCGGCGAGCCCAGTTGCAGCCCCGCTCTCAGGCCGGAGTGCCGCGCCGCGCCGCCCCCATCCAGGTGCTGCCCCAAGCACATGCTTGGTGGGCTGGTGCCTGGAGCCGGCCCTGGCTGTAACCAAATATCACAAATCGTTGGCTCTCTGTTACCAAATGAACCTTTGGTAATCCTCCTGGGGCTTCCCAGCAGAAATGGTCAGACAAGAGGAAATGAAGAATTAATCTCTCATCTGCTCTGCTAATAGTTGCTTGGCTGCTGAGGCCTTCAACAATGGGAGGTTGTGGTTAGGGAAACACACCAATTACGTACCTAGGAAATAGGCAGAGGACAGATAGATACTTAGATATTTGGTTACCTTTTATTCAATACTCAGACAAAGTACATCCACCTGCAAAAAAACACTCTAGCACCTGTCCAGTTTTTGGGAGTATTAATAAAATCGCTAGAGACGACATAGTATAGGTGTTGTAATGATGCTCACTCTGTAACATGGTAACACCCTGTGAGACAGAAAGATCTGATGACTATATTCCTGAATAATGTCTCTTTAAACAAAAGCTAACGGCTGTGATGATTGTTTTGTTTCTGATGTTTGCATGGCAAGGATTTGCCAACTTGTTAAAACTTCCTAAAGACCTAGTTTTTATAGAGAAATCCAGTGGGTCTCTTGTTGCCAGGCACTGGCTGGAGTTGATGTGTCATCATGGGCATAACTTAGGGAATCCAGCAATGCCTCTGGGAGGAGAAGGAGCAATCCTCTGGGTGAGGAGGAGGGGCAGGAATGACTGCTGTGTGCAGGGCAGAGGCTTTGCAAAGACAGTGGCGCTCACCAAGCAGAGGAGGGGAATCCCAGTGACCTACTTCTCTCACCTCCCTTTAATTGCTGCTAGAGGAAACTTAGGTGCTTCCTTCCTCCTCTGACAAACACCTTCCTCTTCTCTCCACAGGAAATGCTTGCCCTGGGCTGCAGTAACTTCTTTGGATCCTTTTTCAAAATCCATGTGATCTGCTGTGCTCTGTCTGTAACCCTAGCTGTGGACGGGGCTGGAGGAAAATCTCAGGTTATTACTTTCTTCTTCCTGGCGCCCAGTTTCACACTAGCAACCGTGATGACACCTCCACGATTAGTGTATAGACGGCCACAGAGGGGCACCTGAATGTGTCCAGTGGAGCCATTCTCTGCTAAAATTCAGAGCCAGAGATTCAGACTCCACTGTTGCTAATCCAGAGTAACTCCACTGACTTTAGCGAAGTCACTCCAGATTGACACCATTGTCACTGAGAGCAGAATTTGAACCTGAAGGCTGTTTTTCTGAGGGGCTAGCTGGCTCACATGATTAATGATGATCATAGAGCTGTTACTCCCCAGAGTGCCAGCTGGAATCCAGACTGGGTCTCTATCTGGCTAGAAGTTGTTACCATCTGATGGATGTCTCCAATGGCCTCTGTATGGGATGGGTTTGGTGAATCTCAATCCATTTTCCACTGAGCAAGGGTCTACATCACCAAAACCATGCTCCTGACTGGCTGTCGTGCTGACAGACTCAGCAGAGAGGTCAAGGACACATGGGCCACCAAGACCGAACTGCCCTCTCTCCCACAGAGCGGGGTTCCTCCTCGTCAGGGTTGGGGCACATTAGCACTGGCACTTTTGCTGCCCATGCTGTGGCGCAAGCACCTGTTGATCTTTAAGGTTGTTCAGTGGAGGCAGCTCCCTGGGACTGCACTGGGCATTGTGGGTGCTCAGCACCTCCCAGGATCAGGCCTAAGGGAAGCACTTTGTTCTCCATTGCTGCTAATCCAGGAGATTTCACTAATACTAAATGCATTCAGTGTGAAAGCTCTTCTTCTCCATGCCAGCAGGCACTCCTGTGTCTAACATGCTGGTCATTCCACTGGGTCCCCCGAGAAGAATTCCCTGCTCCTTACGATCTCCATGTGATGCCAGACCCTTCTTCACTATTTAGCTGTTTTCGTTTCATCTGGCACCAACAGCGGTGACTTTTAATGGGGGCCTGTCCCAGGGACAAGACTTGGGCAAAAGCACAGAGCTCAAGTGAACTGAGGGCCAGAGAGATTAGGTATCACGCCCCAGCCCTCACTGCAAATCAGTGGCAGGACTAAGATAAAACCCCAGAATCCTGAGCCCCATTCTGCTGCTCAATCCATTAGCTCCATAGTTGCCCCAATTTAATTGTTCCCCAGTTTAAGGAATGACATAAGGTTTAAAAACGCCAGATTACCACTGTAATTATTCTTTTTGTTTCCTCAGATGGCAAGTTTCTTTGTAGCGCTGGTGGTTATGATAACCATGCTGGCTTTGGGAATCTACCTCGACCCCCTTCCAAAGGTAAAACCACATGCAACCAGGAGGGCCATGGAGGGCGGAGGGAATGTAAGTAGGGACACCACGGGGTATAACTAACCTGCTCCATTTCCTGTGTCATCTATGTCCAGCCAAACCAGGTTAGCCTTCCTTGCGGTTTGTAAATCAAAGAGCCACCAGATGAAGCTGCACGTAGCTCTAATAAACAACGCTCCCCTCCCCACTCCTCATCCCCATCCCACGAAACTCACTTGATCTGGGATTTTCTCAAAACCAGGTCCACTGAGTGAATCTGGATCAAGTGTCAAGAGAACCTGAGCTAATTCCTGGTTTCAGCACAAAAACTAGTGAAAGGCTTGGCGTGAACTTGGAGTTTAGAAATTGGGTTTATTAAAACTTGAAACCCAGAGGGAGCAAAGTGATGGGATTGGGACAGTGCTTAATTTGTGCCAGGGCTTGGCAGGTCAGAGCCCCGGTGCCTCTGGGCTCGCTGCATCAGTTATGAATGTAAAAAAATTGTTCGAGTCCCGGCACCTAATTGCTTGAGCCCTAGCACCTCTTTCATTACAAATGAAGCATTGATTTCAGGGAAGTATTAGACCATGCTGCCTTTTTCTTCCCGTCATTTTGACTTTAATTATGTACGTCCAGGTGGGGGATGCCCTATCAATAAATTATTTACTATTGTAATTATGTGATTATTTAGTAACTAAGTATGGGCTGTGAAATCTGGCCCAAAGTTCCCTGGGGTTTTGGATTCAGGGTGTTGGTTTGGTCCATTTATTTAGACTGAAGCCAAGCTGCTCTAGTGTTGGGTGTGTTCAGAACCAGGTATTTGGTTCAGGCCTGTCTCTAATAATGACACTTAGCTGGTGTTAATTATTTATGATTAGCTGTACTACAGTAGCACCTACCAGCCCTAATCATGTACTGGGATTCCCCTGTGCTAGGCGCTGTACAAACACAGAACAAAAATATGGTCCCTGGCCTCTGCATAAAGCCCAGGTAAACCGAGCCACCCCATAGCATAGTTTCATAGTGTGAAGGGGCCACGTCCACACTGATTCTCTGGCAGACGAAAGGGAACTGGTGGGGATAAAACAAATTATTTTGGATCCAGATTCAAGTATGATCTTCGTTAGCTTCATCACCCATTGCTAATCCCTCTTGGCAGCCAGATCTGAGAGCAGGCAATATTTGCAACAAGCAGTTTCCCCTTGAGCAATAACACTTTCATGATTCCTGTCTTGGAGTCTAATTTGATACCGTCTCCTTGGCAGGCTGTGCTGGGAGCCCTGATAGCAGTGAACCTGAAAAACTCCCTCAAGCAGCTGGCTGATCCCTTCTACCTGTGGAAGAAAAGCAAGCTGGATTGTGTGAGTCCCCCACCGCGAGAGTCCTGGGGGAGAAGGAGCAGAATCTGATGACGTTTTTCAATAGGAGTGAAACTCACCCCTGCGTGGTGGGGCAGCCCAAGACATAGGCACCACCACTTGAGTCCTCAAAGCAGGGCTTAGATAGGACTCAAATAGTGCATAGGCCTCATGCTGGCCGCATGCAGAAGGGTGAGTTTCACCCTATAAGCACAATAACGCCGCCGACTCAGTGCTAGTCGGCGTTTAGCTTGATGATCACAAGTAAGGTGCAATGTCGAATTTGTCTGGTCTAGTCGAGCCCTGTCGCACTTAATGCATGTAATGCAGAGATCTGAACTATTACTTGCCCTATTTAAATGCCAATCAACGTTAAGAGCCTGTTTGTCAAGAACAAGCCAAACCTGCCCTACTCAATATCTCCGAGTCATGACTTAAAAACTCAGCCAATAGCCCTCCAGGGGAAGGAGAGGCCATCATGAAAGATAAGGATCCCAGGCACTGGTTGACATATAAACCCAATCTGAGAGCATGGGGGAGACAGAAAGGAATTTGGAAATGTCTGACATTTAAAGATTTTGTTTAAACAAGACTTATGCTGGTGGGTGGTATCTGTGCAAACTGGGCCAGAATAGCCTGCCAAATCCCAAGGAAGCTGCTTTATCAGAGAAACAAGGAATCCAAAAGGACTCACTTCAGCTTTCCTAAAATACTGTTCAAACAGGTGCTGGAGAGGAGATGGATAATGATTCCAGGCAGGGTCTTTTAAAGCTGTGTGAATAGTTCAATCCATCACATGAATGCACCACATAACAACACACTAGCAAAGACTCTGAGCTACAAAGGGCTGATCTATATCTAAAAGCAGTCCCAGAATACCTATGGGTTAGGAGTGTGCCTAACAGTTAGTTCGACCTAGCCACATGGCTCAGGTCTGTGATGCAGCTGTAGAATTCTTTTGTCAATCTAGCTACCACCTCTCAAGTGGATTTACTGCAGTGAGGGAAAAACCCCTTCCATCATGGTAGTAACTGTCTACACTATGGTGCTGCATCTGTGCCACTGCGGCACTTGTAGCGTAGACATATTCATAGTTATTCCAGTAAAAGCCCTAGTCTGGATGCAGGTCTATTGGCATAAAGGTGCATTATACCTGTATGGCTTATTTAAATGCCTGAACTGAAATACGCTATACGTGTCTAAGCACTTTTTTATACTGGTATAATTGCATCCACACTATGGCATAGTTAAAACAACAAAACCTTTAAGCATAGACAAACCCAAACTCTCTGTCTTGACTAGTCAAAAAGGTACGTTTCTAAACTAAGTGAACTCACCTGACTTGAAACACCACTTTAGTAGCTAGTTTAGACACAGTTTAACTCTTTTAAAATGGTGCCAGCTGGTTTGGTTGTAGCCTAGAGGAGAGCCTAAAGATTTGTCTTGACTACTAAAAGTATTTGAGTTTAGGTTGGGCTTAGACAACTTGTTCACTGAACTCAATCTACACCAGACCACTTTTCCTAGTCAAGACAAACTCGAGTCCTATTACCTAACCCAATTTTAAAAACACCTGTTTTCACCTTAGTCCGGATAGACCCAAAGTTTGGATCCATCTGTGTTCTTCCATAAAGTTCAAGAGGCTTAGATCCAATTTTTGAATTCAGATCCATCTTACTGACATAAGTCCAAGCTGTGCCGTCTTTTGGATCAGATAATAAAGCAGGGCTCTCTGGTCACCTGTGGTCAAGAAAAATAGCACTACCCTTTTTTGTAACACAAGGGATGTTGATCCCAGTATCCTGGCCAAATTTCAGTTAGGTTAATTGCATTCTGCTGACCTAAATTTTCCCTGGAATTTCAATTGGATACAGTGACCTTCTCCACTTCCTGTCCTAAACTGTTGTCATGACATTGCTATGTGATATCAGATGGCTGTAATGCTTCACCTCAGAGCTGGCTGCATGGATCACTCTTCAGGTATCACATAGTTTATAAAGGGCTTATGAGGAGGGGGAAGTCACTGATCAAATGAAAGGTTTTGGTTCTGCTTCTCTCTTATACCAGAGTCAATCTGGGATTTGAATTCAGTGGCGTTACCCCCTGGTGTGAATGAAATCAGAATCAGGCCAATTACTCCTGTTGTGGGTGGGATGAGGATTCTAAAACGCTTCTCAAAGGGCATTGTTTCTGCATCAGATACATATCTAGGTCTTTTATACCAGCTGTTAAAAAATGTTTTCAAGTAGATGCACATCTCTACTAAAAGACTTAGCCGCAGCAGGGGCTTTCAGAAAGGCGTGACTTAGCCGCAAAAGTCCTGTCTTGACTAGTGAAACTGAGTGAGCTAGTCTGGGTATTGAGGGGTATCTGAAGTATTGTACAAATGTACTGACATCTTGCTAAAGCTGAGGAACTTGAGTGTATGGCACTTGTGCCTCAGTGTCCCAAGAACAGACACTGCACATGAAAACTTTTCTTGTGCACCAAACAGCAATTTACAAGTAGAAAAAGGTCTAAGCTGCAAAATTTAGATTTAGGTTTTTTTAATCCCCAAGCCATAGGTATTTTGGTTCTGGTCCATCTGTCCTTGCCAACGCTTCATCAGAGTGCCCACTGCCTATGGCACAGAGAAGTGACCTGCCATTCTCGTCTTTCCACAGTTGGTCTGGGTGGTGAGTTTCCTGTCGGCTTTCTTCTTGGGCCTGCCGTTCGGACTCGCTGTCGGAGTGGGATTTTCTGTGTTGGTGGTGGTTTTCCACACTCAGTTGTAAGTAGCATCTCGGTGCCAAGCTGCAATATGGGCACGCAACTGCAGAACATTTTCCAGTTACAAAACAACCTGGGGGTTCTTTGTATCAATGGCCTTCGAGCTAGATTTTCAAAGGACGATCTGACAGGAGGCCCTGGGAAAGTGGAGGCTCCAAACCCTCCCATCTCAATGTGCAAACAGGAATGTCAGTTGTTAATTACTACCTGGTTTCTATTCCTGTGCACAGTAACTCAGGTGCCTACTCCAAAGCGGATGTATTTACCCGCTGCTATTTACCCTGCCCAGAAAAACACCAGCTCCATGTGTCTTTCCCTAAGGAATCCACTGCTCATAAAGGATGAAATCCACCCCGTGCAGAGCCTGGCACAAAGCCTATGTGCTACTTACTCCCCTCAGCATAGGCCTTAACTGGCGCATAGGCGTCCAGCTGGCCCTCTGCACAGGGGTGAATTTCAGCCAAAGAACAGAGCAGTCTTGTGAATTAACCTTGCTCTCACCAGCACCAAACACATTGAGGCACCCAGTCTTGCGTGTGCCTCTAGGTGTTACCATAATATAAATAAACAATAATCCTCGCATGCTGCACACTTGCATGGCAGCAAGAGACGCAGCATTTTTCTTCCCCGTCTTAAATTGAATCTATCTGTTGTATTTTTTCCCCCTAGTCGTAACGGCTCTGCCCTGGGTCAGGTAACTTCCACCGACATTTACAAGAACCCCAAAACCTACAATAAGGTAAGTGTGGAAGCTAAAATCTCCCAACCAAAAATGCAAGGCCCCCCGTTTCTCATTCCTGCATGACCTGACCAATAAGTGATTCAAAGGGGCTGTAGGCTGTGTTACTGTCTCTCCTGATTCAGCTCAGCTTGTTATTTTCAGAAGCCATAACAGTAGACCTGCTCCTTCTGGTGGAGGCCTTTGTGATCATTTACTACCTGTCGGTCTCCTTTTAAGCAGAAGGCCCCCAGATTTTCCACCCGTCTGCCCCACCTGCAGGGCTGGTTCATTGGTTACATTATTACTCCATGGTAAAGCGGAGGGAGCTGACAGTGTGTCTAGAGTTGTGCAAATAACTGATGTTTCAGTTCACTGGCAATTCCCAGAAATAATTGCTTTGGGTCGAGCAAAACGTTTCCTTTCTATTTTGTCCATTTTTAAACGTTTTTGATTTGTAATAAAAACTTAAAGAAATTTTGAAACAAAAAGTCATTTGGAGTCAAAAAAATTAAAACATTTTGTTTCAAAAATGTCAACATGGAATGTTTTTATTTTTTTCTGATTTTTTTTTTCCAGCCAAAACAATTTGGCAAAACGGACATGAATTTGTGAAACGTTTTGGTGTCGCCGAATCTGGATTTATCACCAAAAAAAGTTTCAGGCAAAAATTTTCGCCCAGCTCTAGTTGTGTTCCCCACAGATAAGCACTTATTGAAGGTTACCTGAGATTTCTTTGCCAGATCTATTCACCCCACCTGTATTTTCTCTTGTTGCAAAAACCCCAAACCCCACAAGCCCATGCAAAGGCTTGAGTTGTTGTGCATAGTCTGAACTCTGATGTCTGTTGCAGGTCCAGGAACTTGATGGGATTAAAATTGTGACCTACTGCTCCCCATTGTACTTTGCCAACTCAGAGATATTCAGGGAGAAGGTTATAGCGAAGGTAAGAAAACCTTAGCCAGCTTCTGTTTGCAGAGATGATGGAAAGCACTAATTGGTTTCAAAAGTATGTGGCTCTCAGCCTCCGATCTGACTGCCCAAAGCCAGCACGGCCTGGGAGCACCGTGGGAGACTGTGTGTTCAGTTTCTGAGGGCAGAGATCATTTCTCATGTCACTCACCTTAGCTAGGAAGGGAGCTCTGCTGAGGCCTCTGCTGATAAGGAGCATTGCAGAGTGCGGTCGACAGCAGACCACCTCCCAGCATAGCAACATGGCCTCCATTTTCCAGCTTAGCTGTCCAATCATGTCACAAACACCCAGGAGTTTTAATTAATGTTTCCCCTGCATGGGCCTGCTTTATTAAGTCCTTCGGGTTCCATAATATAAGCAATTCATTTGCCTTCTCAGGTACTAGCAGTTCCTTTCCCAATCAGCAGGGTTTCATAAATAATCCCTTCTACCCTTCCAGGGTGTAGTCCTTTTCCTCCCTGGTCAGTGGGTCTCTCTACTGTCCTCCTCTGATGCACCCTCCTGGCTGCTGTCATGTGACTTTTGGTCACCTGACTCAGACACAGTGTACCAGCTGCAATGTAATCCCACTGTTACTATCGCATCTCATGTACCACATGCTGGGTAATAACATGAGATGATTACATGTTAAACTAAACCGGCTCTTTATTAAAACAACTATTGCCAGAGGTGCTGCAATGGCTGATAGCATACCAGCCATGTGCACACAGACTGACTTCCCGGTGCCTCCTCCAAACTCTTCCCTCCTCCTGCAACCTGTGCTCCTCCATCCAAGTTTTGTGCAGTTTGCTACAAGAGCTCCACTCAGGGTATGTCTACACTGCAGCTGGGAGCAAGCCTTCCAGCCCAGCTGGACAGACTCACACTCGCAGGACTCAAGCTAGCACGCTAAAAATAGCAGTGTGAACATAGCAGCTGAGGCAGAGATTCACCCTGAAATGGGGAGTATGTAAGCTGGGAGCACAATCGCTTCCATTCCAGCCCCTCTAGTCCTGCTGCCTTCATATTCTGTGCTCCTGAGAAGGAAAGTGTTGTTGGACCATGGGCCAGCATGGGCAGTGGTCCGTTTCTGTTTCTCATATATGGGTACAAGGCTCTTGAGCTCACGTCACTGACAGATGAGCTACATAAGCAAACCCAACTCACTATCTCTCCTTCTCCGCAGACTGGGGTAGACCCCAGCAAAGTGTACTTAGCCAGGAAAAAATACGTGAAACACCAGGAGAAGAAGGCGGCATCACAAAAAACAACGAAGCTGCAAAAATTGTTCTTCGGGAACAAGAAGGTAACTCACTCTGGGTTCCTTTGATTGCTGTATAGCCCCACATACGTCCAGGTGTTCAACCTCCCCGGGGTGCTTCCCCGTTCCCTCTCTTACCTATAGCGCATGCTACAGTGACCTACACAAAGGGCCAAACCACGCTCACACCAAACTCAGGGGCAAAAATCCCATTGAGTTCGGTAGGAGCAGGATTCAGCTCAATTTGCCCAGAGTGTCTAGTTCAGGAATGACCAGCCTGGGAGCCCATAGCTTGTAGCTGCAAGGAAAGATCACCCATTAGTGATCTGGTCTCCTCTTCATGTTGTGGCTAGTGAATCCAAAATGACATCTGTGATGGAAGGGGGCGAATATGGGCACAGTGTATCCAGTCTTGATTATTAAAATGTATGTGAATATATATGCAACGTAGATCTAGCCCCGAGGAATTTTTTGGCAAGTTGTCGAAGTGGCCTCCCGTGTTTGAACACAGCTGGCCAAGGTAATTGGTACCTGGGAAGACAACTTAGAGGATCCAGGAAGCAGAGGCTGTGTCAGCCCTGACTGTGCCTCCACATTGTTCTCCTCCTGACTGGATGCTGAGGGCTTTCTCCATCTTGCCCCTTGGCTGCTCTTTTCATGGTCAGGGAGGCTGTCGAATGTCCTGTTGCCCGCTGGGTACCTTAAATGCCCAGCCAAGGGTAACGAATGGGCCGAGTGGGAGTGGGGGGGAGGGGGCTTGGTGACCAGAATGCAGCTTGCAGTTTGAGACGTTGACGATGTTTGACAAACTGGCTGATCCTTTGGGCGCAAGCAAAAAGCAGCTCGTGCCTGCTGTAACGCCACTGAACTGTACAGAGTAATGCCAGCGATGAAACTGGCCTGATGGATGTCTTTCCAAAATACATGCGGTAGCTCACCTGCAAAATTTGGGCTGGATGCTGGCCTCATGAGGTAGGTTCAAGAGCACTGATAATCGCATCCTGACCTGGTTGCCTTTGTTTGACTGCAGACCTTGTCAGTGCAAGAGCTCCAGAAAGATTTTGAAAGCACCTCTCCGACGGACACCAACAATAATCAAACGACTGCCAACGGCACCAGCATCTCCTACATCACATTCCACCCCCCCGCAAACAATGCCGGGCAGGTCAATACCTCAAGTGAACAGGGCAGCATCTCGAGCCATCGGGGCAGCACTTGCAGTGTTATCCCAGCTGCCAACGTTGACCTGATGATCACAGCACCGCCCTATGTCAGCTTCCACACCATTATCCTGGACATGAGTGGAGTGTGCTTCGTGGATCTGATGGGCACAAAAGCTCTGGGGAAGGTCAGTTCTCTGCCACTAATTCAGCATGTGAATCCTTGGACAAATCACTTTTTTGCAACTCTGTTTCCCTTCCATGCAATGGGGATAAAGATACTTCTTCAAGTGATGGTCCCTATTGTATTCCACTGTGGGTTTACACGGGTGCACCATGCGCCCGGAGCCAGTGAGAAGGAATACAGTGGAATACAGATAGGGACCACACATCCTGAAGAATCTCCAGTTACAGGTCAGTAACTTCCTCTTATCTTCCTCACTTGCAGCTTGTGAGGGTGTATGAATTAGCATCTGCAAAGGGGGTTCAGATCCTTGGATTAAAGTCCTTATATAAGTCCAAAGCATCTCTAAATATTATTATTGTTTCTTATTATCCTCTTTCTCCATCTTCCCATCCAGCTGTGTTCCAGCTACCAGAAGATTGGGATTAAAGTCTTCCTGGCAAACGTGCATGGTAAGCATCCAAGCATAGCTTATTTCTTTGTGCTCTTTCCCTCATTTCTCAGACACAAGCATAGTGGTGATATATTTCTTATATTGAATCAATGGAAAGGGTGGGAGGAAACTGCAGAGAACCTGAGAAGTTTTCAGGTATCTAGTCCTCTTCTGTCACTAATGCAGGATTGTTCCCTACAGTATATTCCCCAGTGCTACTATGAAATCTCCTAAGTGATGAGGTTTCCGTCACATGCCACTCCATGCTGATTATTTTAGGAAGCGGGATTTCATAGCTCAGGGCCATTGAGAATAAAGCAAGCTTGTAGCAAGAAGAAAGGGTTTACAGAGCTATTTCATTACACAAAGGCAAAATGAAAAGGGGGATGGTTTTCTTTGTGATTGAGGCTTTTGGATATGTTTTCCGTTTGAAAACATTTATTTCAGGCCCCGTTGTGTTCTCTTTGGAGCTTAACGGCTGTGGCTAATGGTTATAAACATGCAAGTTTATCGGCCCACCATAGGACAGGATTATACTTAGACTTTCCTGGGCTTCATTGTTCTCCATAATAATGTGTAATTGACATGTCAGAGCAAATCAGAACAGATGGGACGGAAGAAAGGAGGGGGAATGTAGACTGGAAAAAGTCTGCGCTTGGTGTGTATAAATGTAAGCATCTTATCCGGGATTGGATATAGCTGTAGTACCATAGTTTGCACCTAAAAGAATACATATATATGCAGTAAATCTGTCTCTCCTCACCCTTCCTTTCTCTCTTCCAACCACCCTGCCTGCACTATTGACCTGCCTCACCCCAGGACCAAAATTCTGCCAGAATCCTCCCCATCCCCAAATCATGGAAAACTGCCTGTCCAAGTCAGATCCTTCTCTACTGCTGCCCCCATGAACCACTGAAAACCCTCCCTGGGATGCCAGTACAATCACCTCCCTCCTGCTCAGCCCAACAAACCATCTTATTTCAGTCACAGCCTCAGAAACCAACCATAGCACAGAACGTAGGACAAAATTCTGCCCTCATTTACACACCTGCAGGCGCATCAACAGCAGTGGGCCCTCCGGCTTTAAATGAGATGCCAGTAATGCACAGGCTTTGTGCAGTCACTCTGCTCTGCGTACGGGAGAATTCCCAACCATTTCCTTTCTGATCTGGTAAGCGTCTGCCCACCGGGATTGCTACAGGTTCAGGAACTCTCCATCAGCCCCATTTACTTTCAAACAGCTCCTCCTTCAGTCGCTTTATCTTTGCTCATAACGTCTTTTCCCCTTCTGCAGCCCAGGTGTACCATGATATTAGCACAGGCGGAGTCTTCGAAGAAGGGGGCCTAGACCCAAGTCACATCTTCTTGACCATCCATGATGCTGTTCTGTTTGCACTGGCAAATGCCAAAGGAGTCTTCCGTCCTCCTGGTTTAGAAGAGGTACGCCTTGGGCTTTCCACCAGGTTGCAGAACCGCAGGGCTGCATTCTGCCCTCAGCTACACACATGCACTACCCATGAGAAGATAAGAACCTACTACTGTTATTCCATTAGCTCAGTGGTTCTCAAACTTTTGTACTGGTGACCCCTTTCACATTGCAAGCTTCTGAGTGCGACCCACCTTATAAATTAAAAACACTCTTAAATATATTTAACACCATTATAAATGCTGGAGGCAAAATAGGGTTTGGGGTGGATGCTGACAGCTCGCGACCCCCCGTGTAATAACTTCGCATCCCCCTGAGGGATCCCAACCCCCAGTTTGAGAACCCCTGCATTAGCTCAAGTGGCAGAGGCCCAAGTGTATAGACCAGACATCCAGATGGGGGTCACTGTCCAACCCTGTTGAAGTCAAAAGCATTGCACAGGTGTAACTGGGAGCAGGATTTTGCTCATAATTTGATTACCAATGGGGAGCCATAGATGCAAACAAGGGCAGAGATCAGTCCATAGAAACTAGAGGCAGAACACATCCCTCTCTACTGGATGAGACTACCAGTGGGAGGGGCAAGGAAAGTGACATGCAGCAATGTGGCACGTGCTGTAAATACAGGGGTGACATAGGTTATTCAGTAAGATACCAGCTGGTTCTTGCATAGTAACTCGAATGGAAACAATGGCCAGGCTGCCGAGTTTATCTCATGATAACGTGTTAAAACATCCAGACTTGCCACTATGCGTGTGCGCAAACAGCAGCTCAGCCAGGGGAAATAGGCTACTGCCACTGGAGGGTTGCGGGGGGAGTGGGTGAGACAGCATTTCTAAAGAGCAGCAGTGGCACTGTAGGACTCCATGGCAGCCTGGAAGGAAGAAGAAGAATTATTATGATTACCCTCTCACTGTCCTCTCACTGTCAATCACCACATACTCCCTTTCTGATCACCCACATATTATTTACATTGCAGTAGCTGTTAGAGACCTAGGTGCCGTATACACACATACTAAGAGACAGTCCCTGCCCCAAAGAGCTAGCAACCTAAATAGACAGGCAGACACAGGGTTGGAGGGGAAACAAAGGCACAGAGAAAGATGAAGTGATATGGGCACGGCAACATGGCAGAAAGAGAACTCAGGCCTCCTGAATCCCAGTCTAGTGCACTATCCACTAGTTTATACTGTCTCCCGAAAAACACAAAAATGGTGTGCTTTTTTAGCTCCCAGCACAAGGGCAAAACCTTCCTAAAACAACGTACGCGACTGACTCCTGGCCCGTGCACTAATGAGGCATTCAGTGGGTGCACACAATATGTGCACCTTACACCCCAAGGGGAGTAGCAGGAAAAGCAACCAATAGGATGGGGTATGTTCAAGAGAGTGGGGGTTGGACAGTCTTATAGGGTGACCATACGTCCAGTTTTGGCCGGGACAGTTCCTTTTTTAAGCCCTGTCCCAGACGTCCTGACTTTTTTTTCCAAAAAGAGGAATTTGTCCCATTTGCTCTTGCTGACTTGATCAGTTGGCAAGAGCAAACAGGACAAAGGCCCACTTTTGTCAAAAAAGTGGGGTGCGAAGGAATGTGCGGGGGAGGGCAAGGGGCGATGCCAGCCTTGCGCAGAGGGGGAGGCAGGGCTTGAGCAAGCAATGACAGCCTTGTGCAGCGACAGCCTCGTGCGAGGGTCAGGGAGGGCTTGGGGCGAGCAGCTTGGGGCAATATCCCAGGGAACCACGGGGCAGCTGGAATTTGAAGTATAACATCTGCAGTGCTGATGAGGGCATCACAGATAGACACAGAGCTGTGCAATCATTTGTTTTGTTCTTCTCCTGGTGAAGGAGAGGCAATCAGACACCATAGTGATGAACGCTTGTATGTGAACCAACCCAAACAGCGTGACGCACACAGCTTTAAGTGACCGCTTCTGAACACCAGTCTTGCAGTTCACTATTCCCTGAACAAGCGAACTGTGGTCTGACCTCTCCCTTGCCTACACTGTAACTACCTGCTCACAGCCATGGGCTGCTCCCAGCCCACTTATTTGCATTGCTACACCTGATAAAACTTCTGCAGCCCCAACCTTGGGCTGATACTAGGAAAGACCTTATCACTGCCGCACAGCAATTATTTGCTTTTTAAGAGATTTGCTGAAGGTGAAACCGCCTGGCTACCACTGAGATTTAGGACAAGGAAACAACTGACTCTTTTTTAGTTTTGTTTGTTGAATCTAAATGTTGGGGCGGGCGGTGGGTGTCTTCGGGGTCACTGTTAACTCAGTTGGGCCCCAGATTCCAGTTACTGTACTTTAAAGAGGTAGTTTCACACTGAAACAAATATACTGGTTTTTCCTTTTTTTTTTTACAAAGAAGATCCAAAAGGCAATAGGTCTGATTCTCATTTGCGTTGCCTCTTTATATCACTTTCACAGCCAAAAGGGGCCACAAAGTGGCTGTGAAGGTAAATGTAATGCCAGAGTGGTGTAGTTCAGCCCTAGTGTAAATGCAAATCAGCACCAATGCACTTGCCCACTCATTTTCTGTATCCACTTTACTGGTTTTGGGTCTGATGTTTTGGTCCAGGCCTATGTCGAAGAATAATTTGTGCTTCCAAACTATATAGGGCAACTTCATAGGCTGTTCATGGGTTAGCTACAGTTTTATCCCTTTTGGTCCTGTGCCTGCTAATAATTGATTTTGACTTCTTCCCATGCAGAGACCAAGTCAGACGGAGCTCTCCATCTATGATGAATCTGTGGATGAAAGCAGTTCAGAATTCAAGAACTTGGAGGAGGTGAGTAATAGGACCAGGAATCACTTTGTATTGTGGTAGCACCCAGCCGCCCCAACTAAGACTGATGCCTCATTATGCTGGGAGCTGTACGTATACATAATAAGCCCCTGCCCCGTAGAGCTTAGAACCACAATAGATGAGATGGACCAAGGGTGGGTGAGAGGGGGAGGTGTTATGCAGTTTGCAGATGGGAGGCTGAGGCACAGAGTGAGGAAGTGAGTGGCCCGAGGTCACACAGAGAGGTCAGTCTGTGGCAGCAGCAGGAACTGAGCCCGCATCTCCTGACTCCCGGTCTAGTGCCTTAACTATAAGACCGTCCTTCCTCTCATGAGAGACTCATTCATCTTTTGCTGCTGTGTCTGCTGCCTTTTATCTGTCATGTGCCTGGAGGCTGGTGGGCTATCAGTCCTCGTGCTTAAATGCAGAAGCTTGGTGGGTGGGGTGAGGACCGGAAGAAACCCTCACCCTCCGTGGTATGGTATTACACACTGTGGTGGATGGTTTATGTCTTCCTCTGAAACATCGGCCACTGGCCAGTGTCACAGGATACCGGGTTAGATGGGCTGTTGGTCGCTTCCAGTAGAGGAACTCCTGGGTTCATATTAGAGATGGGCCTGTGCCACAAAGTTCAGGTCCTGAAGGCCTCCAAAGATTGGAGAGTGTGGAGCATGAGGCCTATCACTAGATCTTGGTCCAAGCACTCAGCTGGTATAGATCAGTGTAGCTTCATTGACTTTTATGGGGGCTACACTGTTTCTGTCCGCTGAGAGTCTAGCTCAAGAAAGACAGTCATTGGAAAATTGACCCTTTCAGCCTATTAAGGAACAATGCAAAGAAAACCCTAGAAACCAGGCAGTCACAATGCCAATAACCTTCCTGAGCTTTACCCCTCAAAAGGAAATGAAGAAGGTGTAATGCTGGGTAGAGATGTGGAGATCAAGTGTAGTAGCTGTGTGGTTGGACACCAACATGTGTAAATCGTTGGTACCGTTCTAACCAAACCCATCTTCTTGTCCCTTTAGGAGATGTTTGGAACCATGTTCCGTTCGGAGGCCCAGACAGCGCTGTGAGTGTCTGGGGGAATGTTAAAGTGCCGGCAAAGCCTCCGGAACTGACTATTCTCACATATTCCTTTATGAAGATGCTTCCCCTGTCTGAGTGGTGCGCAGAGCAGCCTTTCTGTGCTTCCAACCCGGGGTAGCAGTGAGTTTGCGAGGCAAGGGGCAGTCACACCTCTCCTCCTGACATCCTCTCTTCTCCTTCCCTCTGTGTGTGGAATTCAGAGCAACAGACTCTTGGAGCAGGTAGCAGAACACAACAGAAGCAGGAACTCAGGAAATAACTTTCATCTAGGTGTAGAAGAGCAGCAACTTCATTTAATGGCACGTGCCTCCAGGCAGAAGGATTATTAATATTCGTCATCGTTGTCAACCCTATCTCTGTCTCTCCTCCTCCAGAACCCACTCACATACCCAGTCATATGGATTGCATAACCTAGGCATCACCTTTATTTTCCTTCCTTTTTCCAATGAGGTGAAATATAAGGAAATTTACAAGCCTTTTCTGGCTTTAATTCACAACCACAAATAACCCTCTCAAGATACAGTGATGCAGGTTTGCATGGTGATAATATTTTAAAATGTGCACTGACTTTTTGGGAATCTGCACACTGAATTTAAGCCTGTGAATTTCTTGGGGTTGCCGCCCAAAACCACCTCTGTATTCTCTATTACTCTACAGGCCCTCCTGCGCTGTCCTGTCTATTACAGGTACCATTTACTGAGCCAGTGCTCTATTTTTGTTACCCTAAAATCCTTGGTACCACTGCATGGGAGTAATGCTGCATTCTGTATTACATGCTCAGACTATTTTTGGATATCAGGCACCCTTAGTTCACATGACCAAGAGCTCCTACCAGCTCTAGTGGGTGTTATATGCACACACTGGCCTTCCCAATAGTTTGGGTAGTTAAAACAGGGCCGCCCAGAGGATTCAGGGGGCCTGGGGCAAAGCAATTTCGGGGGCCCCTTCCATAAAAAAAAGTTGCAATACTATAGAATACTATATTCTCATGGGGGCCCCTGCGGGGCCCGGGGCTGGGGCAAATTGCCCCACTTCCACCCGTCCGTCCGTCCCCCCCGCCCACTCCCCACCCCCCGGGCGGCCCTGAATTAAAATAAAGCTTATTCAAAATACCGGCAGAATTAGGGCCTGATTCAAAGCCCATTGAAGTCAAGGAGAATCTTGCCTTTTACTTTAACAGGATTTGGGTCAGGCCTTTAGTCTGGGAATATCACGAGAGCAGCTATTCCTGTGGTATTTTGATGCTTCCTTTTCCTATTCTCAGTATCTGGATATTACTAAAAAGTTCAGTTTAGATTCAGCTCTAGAAATAGGTAAGTGTTTCAGGGTGAGTGGGTTTTCCTAACCAGTTTGCCCATCCCTAGCAAATTTAGGGACAGCTCAGTGCATACATCCAATAGTTTTTGATGATGCTATAACTCAGGAGAAGTATAATTAAAGTTTGAGCATATTTTGGGTATGCCAGGAGTCAGCAGCTCTTGTGATACCCAGCACTAACCTCTCCAAACTTGGAGCTTCAAGGTGAAGAGATTTTAGGTAATCACCTAAGTGACAAGAGAAAGCTCATCTGCTAGGTCTGCTATGGTGTCTGGTCCCTCATGCGCTATATGAATTTGAATAAAAATCACCACAAACTGATGCTACCAGGACAATCTACCTCTCGGGCAAACAAGCCTGACTCGATAACCCATAGACAGATGAGATCTTTTTAATTTTTTTTAAATCCTAATACTTTTATATATAAAAGTGTGAGTGATGCTAATAACTATTGCTATTTTAGTTTTTTGTTATAGTTCCTTCCTTTCATCCCCATATTGATTCTCTGAAGCTTATGACTAGAGGAAATGCATTTAAAGTATATGTAAATGCTGAAAAATACAGTATGTTGAGGATTAAAGGGACACTTATTAATACATTTAGGCCTCAAATTCAGGTTTTGTGAAAAACAATTCTCCAAAAATTAAGATTAGCAGAATTTTGTCTATGATATTTTTAAAGTTCTGATGAAAACAGTTTTTTGTCGGGATTTTAAACGTGGTGTTTCCAGCCTTGGGATAAAGCATAAGGGCCAGAAAATGAAACTGCTTAGAAGCAAATGTGAAACTGACTAGTCTGTTTTTTGGGAATGCAAAAATAAATAATGGCCTTAATAAATATAAAGAAAATTTGCTTTTAAAAAGTTATTTCTGTTCTAATAACCTAAGATGTTAATAACACTTTTGTGTTTTACTATATGGTTTTAAATCTGTTTAATTCATAAAACAGTCTTAAACCACCCTGATAAAAGGGTCTTTGAGATAACATTATCAGGGAAAGAAAATGCAGCTGTACTGTGGCTCCCAGATAAATGATGCCCCACTTGCAATGAAAATAGAGCTGCATGACTCATCCAGGCTATGCAAACATTCCATGTTATAACATCAGAGCTGCCTGGGTTTTGTGTGGCACCTCATTAATTAAGTCACCACTGCTTTACCTCAGTCTCTGATTACATGGTGCAGGAGAAAACAAACAGAAGTACAGTTTTCTTTCGATGGGAGAAGAACAACACACTAAAAAAAGGTTACTGCTCATTCTGACCTTAGTGAGACAATCATAATTTTGCTGGGACTGTCATGTCCTACAAGCTAACATTAATTCTTTCAAATTATCCTTGAGGCTAATGCACCATAATTAATTACTCTTGGTCTACTTCTCTGCTGCCTGAACATTCCTCCTTCTTGCTGTTTTGAATAAACAAACAGCTTGGTGCAATGGAACAAGGGACTTTTTCATTATAAGAAAAGCTCTGTGGTGACCTCACTTTGAATTAGTGATATTCCTAATTGCAATTCAGGAATCAGAGTGTGTCTGCTAAAGATTCAGTTCACAGTCCCACAGGCCTGGTAGCCAAAGTATCAGTTCAAATACAGGAAACCTCAGAGCGACAGATCCCTGTGCAAAGGATGTATTGTTTCCTTTGCAGTTCCCAGCAGCATGATGGATGGGATGTCACGAATGATGCCATGAAAGTAGTGGCAATAATTACATACTCTGCCACCTTGAAGTCTCGGGTAGAGGGATACTTGGTTTCTGTAGCCCAGTGCCAATTCTGGTGACAAAAGCAGCTCTCGGCAGCTGACTGATGGTATTTTTGAAAGCATAACTCCTGTCACCATTTTGCTACTGAGTAGCACAAATGTTTTAGATGTAGAACCCTGACAAGCCTATGGGTCCCCGAACATTAGTTTCAAAGGCGACATTCACCAATCTGAACAAAACAGAATGACAAGTTAGCATGACTTGCATTTCTCTTTCAAAGGTTCTATGTGGCCAGCTCAGAAAGCTTCATTTCCAGGGTATCTTGACCAGGGAACTAGAGAAACTCAGAAAGAGAGTCCATTGGGGTGGAAAATTCTAAACTTCCAATGACCTTTTATGTCTCTGAAAGTCTAGTGATATTAATATGTAATTACTTTGAAGCCTTATTTGATACTTGCATGATGCATAACCAGCTCAAAATGTTTGTGTAATTTATTTAATTTAATATTGGTTTGGTTCTTCTTTTTTTGATAATAAACAATATGTGACTGATCATATGCTTTATCTACTGATTTGGGAGTACACTTTCCCAGAACCCTTATGCCAATTCTACTTGGTAGTATGGTGGTAGTATGCCTATAGTTAATTTATTTTACCTGTGCTATCCTAGAGTTTCTGTATGCTTCTACACCTTTGCAGAATTAATTACTCTTATAGAATCCACGCTACACAACTCTCCTATATAAATCACATGGTTATTTATCAGTAAAGGGTGCTCCTTTTTCTCAAGAGTTCTCTCATTTTAGAAATATTGTTAATGCCATAGCTGGATTTCCTAGTCTGCTGGCCCCAACAAGAGGTACACTGAAATTGCACTTAGATGAGCGTGAACTGAGTTATGTTAGAGAACAGATCTTGCCCTCCTGCTGCTAACGGCAGCAACAAACACAGCACATGTAACATGATTTAGGCATACAGAATTATACACTTCTATGGTGGTAAGAAGCAACAGAGGGTCCTGTGGCACCTTTGAGACTAACAGAAGTACTGGGAGCATAAGCTTTCGTGGGTAAGAACCTCACTTCTTCAGGCTTGCATCTGAAGAAGTGAGGTTCTTACCCACGAAAGCTTATGCTCCCAGTAGTCTCAAAGGTGCCACAGGACCCTCTGTTGCTTTTTACAGATTCAGACTAACACGGCTACCCCTCTGATACCTTCTATGGTGGTGTTCACTTGCAGATCCCGTTGTGTGTTAAACTGTGTGATTAATTAAGCTTCAAAACATCCCTAGCCAGTAGGTACGATTACCATTTTACACATGGGGATACTCAGGTGAAGTGATTGCCTAAGGTCACAAAGGGAGTCAGCAGCAAAAGACCCCAGCCCCTAGGGTGGGACCCACACTCTGCCCGGGACTGGGAACAGGCCCCAAGAGCCTGGCTCCAGCCCCCTGCTCTGGGCACGGCACGTGAGCTGTCCAGCTTCCGGAAATGTCAGGGCCAGGGAACTCCAACTCCCAGCAGGCTTTGCCGCGAAGGCCGAACGAAGCCGCCTATTGGCCAGTGTCTCTGAGTTGGCGGCTGGTGATTGGCGGGCGGCGCGCGAGGCCCGCGGAGCGGCATGGCGAAGCGGTGGTGTCGGCTGCGTGGGGAGGCCTGGGCCGCCTGCCTGGGGCTCTGCGGGGCGGCACTGGCCCTGCTGGCCGTGCTGCTGGTGCGGGCCTACGTCCTCCGCCCCCCGCCCGGCCCGCGGCTCTGGGGGCGGCGAGCCGCGCTGGGCTTCGAGCTCAGCGCCCGCGACAGACAGGAGCTGAAGGAGGCGCTGAGAGGTGAAGGGGCCGGGACCCCTCAGAGCCCCATCCCCCGGGGGAGCCCCCCCCCCGGCCCCCATGTACCCTCCAGGCCAACCCCCGCCCCTGGGACTCCCGGCCCCCGGCTAACTTCCACCCCGGGGGGACCCCGGGACTCCCCAGTCCCCTCAGACTGCCCTTCTGATCTCCAGGGGAACTGCCCCCGACTAAACCCCCCGGGGATCCCCACCCCCAGACTAATTCTCCCACCAAACAACCCCTCACCCCCAGATTAGCCCCCCACCAGGGATTCCCCAAACCAACACTGCTCCCGAGAACTCCTGCTGCCAGACTAAATCTTTCCACAGACCGCCCCTCCCCACATACACACACCAACCAGGCTAACCCCCTGGGGCCAAACCCCCATTCCCGGCAGGCTCCCACCAGCAGAACCAACTCCACCCCTCGACAAATCCTGGACCCTGTAATCCCATCCCAAATACCCCCACTCCCCCCATCCCTGATGATCCGCCCTGATGACGGACCTTTTTCAGCCCCTGCCCCTTCGTGGCTAAGTCTCCCGCCCGGACCAGCATGCCATCTCTGCTGAGGAGTGCACCCCCTTGGATCCCTAAAGTTACATTCCTTAACTGCCCCACCTTTGGCCACCAGAACTCCATCATGACTCTCCCCCAAGCAACTTCTACTAGGCTGCCTCCCCCCATTTCCTCTGGGGCTAAGACAACATCCTAGGGCCCTCTTGAGATTGAGTGCTCTGAAACCCCCCTCCACTCAGGACTCATCCTCCACCTGAATTCTCCAGGGCCTGAGCCTGCCCTGAAGACACTGAGCCCCCAGAAATCCCTTAAGTACTGATGCCTCCTCATCAGCTACTAATGCCATCCATTTACCGAAACCCCCAGGGCACTGACCTCTCTAGTCTGGTGTCCCTGGCAGAATTTCCTCAGTGGGCACTTCTCTCCCATGTGTACCATGCACCCTCAGGCACAGACAGAAACTGCTTGAGCATTAGGGCTCCCTCAACTGACACTATCTTCTCCCCCCCCCGTGTCGTCTTCTTCCCATTGTGTCACTTTACTTTTTAAGCATCTATTCAGCCCCTTATTGCTTGCTTACACATTGGCCTGCTCCCCTCCCAGCACCACTTCTCAGACACTGGCACATGCCCAAGGAAACAGCTAACCCATCCTCAAGCTCTGACACCCCTCCACTGACTGCCCTCCAGCAACTGAGGCAGCTGACACCACCCTGAAACTGACAACCTCCCTTTATCCCCATAAGGCACTTCACTTGTGTATTACATCCTTCCCTACCCTGCTTCCATGACACTGCAGAAAGTACATGCTATGGGTGATAGGGAAGAAAGAAAAACTGCAGAAGAAAAAGATTGAAAATCATTTCTTTAAAAAAAAAAAAGAGGATTTATTTCTTCTGCTGACAAATGAAAGAAGGGAATAATATTGTTTTAATAGCTCCTCTGTATAAGTCATTGCTTGTTATCAGTTAAGATTCTTTAGCACTGCATGATGCAATGGCTGTCTCAAAATACCTGGTATATTTACATTTGCAGCCATATACTTTGACCCCACTAGATATCCTAAGCAAAACCTGGAGATGTGTCTTGGAGATAGTGGAGGACACATACACCTGAGTCTCATCTGTGTATTGGTAACACCTGACTCTGACAATCTTGCTGAGTGGTCCAATGTAGATATTAATGAAAAAGGAAGAGAGGATATTGAGGGATTCCACAACCAGGGGCCTGGATGTCTCAGAGTGGTATAGCTGTTTTAGTTTATAAAGCACTTTTGATGAAAGATGATCTGTAAATGCAAGGTGCTAGTGTTGTTGTTGGTTGGCCCATTCCTCATCCCTTGTTCATAAATATAATATTAAGTCTATAGAAGAGGGATGATAAGAAGTAGGTGAATCCATGAGGCTGCACCATATTTGCAGTGGATGGCAGGGAAAAACTTGTCCAGAAAGCTGTATAAATGTTTTAGAATCTGCCAAATGACTGTACTGCAAAGATGAAACCAGGCAATAAATGAATTATTATGCTTTCCCACAGCAGATATTCTTGTCTTAACTGGAACCAGAATTTCACACACCTGCAGCCTTTGTTTCCTCCCACTGACAGTCTTCTCCAATACCTCATCCCTCTTACATACAAAACACAGTTTGTCTGCATTCTGCAATTGTACATCTTCAGATGTCCCTTTGCCACACTAAATACATTAGTGCCCCCTCTTCCTTTCTCGCTCAAATCTTGTACCTCTGCCTTGCAGACATCCTGTCATACAGCTAGTGGGGTATATGGATTACATTAGGAGTGGCAGCTAGTAGAAAACCAGACACAGGCATCAAACAATAGTTACAACTATTAAAATAGAGGAAAAGCTCTTCTGTATTTAGTTGATGGAATTATTACCTAGCAGGTGGAAATGTTTTTTTTAATTAGAAACCAAAAAAATCCTCTTTAGAGAGACCTTTGATGAAGTAGATGGGAGCAGGAGCAGGCCCATAGTGGGGCATAATGGGCCATCATGGAGCAGCAGCGTCTGAGGTAAAGGATGATTCAGTTAACACCACTGTTCCCATATAAATCTGATGAGGCAACTCACATTTTCCACTCAGCAAGATCCTGTGAGGTGCTAAGCATTTAGTGAGAGTTGAGTGTACTCAGGCTTGAGCCCAAAGTAATGTTTTTCATTAGGAAGCTTATTGAAAAAGATGGTGCAATTATATTTCAATTCCCATCTAGTAATATAGTTGCATTTAATCCTAAAATGTTATGTTGACAAGGAATCAATCTTCACAATCCAGTGAAATGCAGCTGCTTCCAGAGTGGAAAGCAGTAGCATTTTTAACAATGCACAGCAACAAGACCCAACAATTTAGAACAAGTAATAAAGAAGAACATTCTATATGAAACTGCACAGGCATTAATAGGGTAGCCAGAATGTACTTAATGAGGTTAAAATGTGGTCAGTTCTTTGAGGATAATACTACCTCTATCCTTCTGTCTTGGGATCTGTAAAGTCTACAAAATACTCAGGATCTTAGTTTTCCTACCTATTCAAATTACAGTTAAAAGGACTGTCAGACCGATTGTCATCATTGCCAAAAATCCTCTACTCCATATTTTCATTTAAGGTGCCATCAAAATCCAAACAGTTTCCTTCTCTCCAGAGGACCAAAATACAACAGCCTTGGCAGAATTTGGGAATTATATTAAAAAAGGTACAGAATTTACATTCCTACATATTTTTAATAAAAGGGCAGGAGGTTGGCAACAAGTTGAGAAGAAGGTTTAGATTCTGAATATAATGGAATAGTACTGTATTTGGTGTAGCACTTTTTATCTTGATTTTTCTCAAAAGGGGACTGGATTACCATAAGGGCCAAAATGGGACCTGCAGTTCAACTGTGGTGTATTTCCACTGATGGTAGAAACTGAGCATAGACAGGGCATAGGTGTTTTTTTACTTCCATGTCATAACCCTGCTCTGAAGACAGTTAGACAACCTTGTGATAAAAAAGCCTAAACCTGTCTGTAGGTTCCATCGTCCAATACAGCTGCAGTGGTGGTGAATTACAGATCCTGTTTTGCCAAGGGAGACAAGGCTCTAGTGATAGTTTCCACTGCAGATTGGGACAGTTTGGTAAAGCTGTTTGAGAGAAGCTTGCACGTTTGCTGCCTGCAACGTATCAAGCTTTGTAGTCTTATTGCCATGCGTGTTAAAATTCACTATAGACCCTGCTTCCCTTAAAGTCCGTGGCAAAATTCCGCTAACAGGTTCGTGTCATATTCCCAATAATTTTGGTGGTGGAATAGAAAAGATCTTGCTGATTTTTCTCCTTTGTATATTTCTCTCTTCTTTTGAATTTATTTTTAAACAGTTTTTCCTGCTGTATTTTCTACCAAGTTCATTCAACATGAGATCATCGGGGGATACAGCCATCTCTTCACTGTCCAGGGTTCTGACCCCCAGCTCATGCCCTACATGCTGCTTGCTCACATGGATGTAGTCCCAGCTTCCCAAGAGGGGTGGCATGTCCCTCCTTTCTCGGCTAAGGAACTTGATGGTTTCATCTATGGACGAGGAACAGTGGACAACAAAAATTCTGCTATAGTATGTCTTCTCCGTCACCTCATTTCAGAGCGATGAAAAACTCTAAGGAATGTTTTTGTTCAGAGTCTGATGGGTAAATAATTAACAGTCCCATAGTTTTGTGATTTGAGAACGTCTGTTTTGGAACTAGTTAGCTTTTGAGAATGGCAGTAATAATCCCATAAACAACTAAATCAAAATTAACCATTGCAATGTATGAGGCAAAATGGATGCGGCAAGACAGCAGAAATACAAACTAACCACTGCTGATCAGACAATGACCACAGTTTAGGAAGAAAAAAAAATAGATGAGACTGGAAAAAACACAAGTGTTAACAGATTACAAAATTCATCCCCACTGTTCTTATTTTTCTTTGTTCTTCCTTAGTAATGTTTTTGTATAAAAAGTTAATCCTCATTAAAGTAATGGGTTTGCTACAACTAGCGAGAGCCATACCATATGCAGTCTAGATGCAATAAAAAGGCTCAATTAAGTGGGGGTTTTTCAGGCATAGAGACCCCGATCATGCTCCCTTTGAAGTCAGTTGGAGTTTGCCTTGGCCTCCAGTAGGAGTAGGATCAAGCCTATACTATTTTATATATTTATTCTGATATTATGTGACACACTGAGTCTTGAGGATTCTTAAGTCTCTTGGATTGTGTTTGCAAAAGAATATGATTATCATCAACTAGGTGGAGTGAAAAGAAACCCTGAAATAGTTAAAAGAATGAAGCCTGCTTGAGGACTGTGAAAGTACTGGATTTCCTTTACATCTTCATGTTCTTCGCCATATGAAGTAGCTCTTCTTTGCAACCTCAGAGAGCAAAAGGACACAGTGACTAACATGCTGCCTCTATTCCACAGGGTATTCTGCAAGCTCTAGAATTCCTGCTGAGAAGAGACTACAGACCTTGCAGATCTTTCTATATTGGCATTGGACATGATGAAGAGGTATTTCTCTCAGTCTGTCTCTCTCTCGTTTCCTCCTATAAGAGCAGCTTGATTCTTGGATATCCAGTTGCCTGCATTGTCCTTATACTTGACTAAATCAACTTTCTAAGGATTATTTACCGTGAAACCCCCTGATGATCACTGTTGCATTGACAAATCACTCTTTAGAGCATTGCAGTCATAGGTATATATTGACAGTTCAGCTCTCAGTGACCTGGGCATCAGGGTTTTACTCAGTGGAGAGAGAGGAAAAGGGTAAATCTGTACTATTCTTTGGTATGGCTTTTCTATGGCTGTCAGACGTAAAAAGTACAGTGCATGAGTGAAATGTGAAAATCCAGGTTAAGATGTATTTGATTGTTCCAGGTGAACCGTTATCTAACAGAGTCTTCATTAATGACATAGAGCTAGAAATAGAGAATGATAGGGTAGCAGAATTGCCCATTCTCATAAAGACAAGAAGGGCATTCAGTGAAATTGAAAGATAAGAAATGATCAAATTAAATACCTTTTTAAACAATGCCTAATTAAGCTGTAGAGCTCATTGCTGTGGGGTAGCATTGAGGCTGCTCATGAATAATGAGAACATCTTCAATTATATTAGACTGGATGTAAACTCTCTTGCTTCAGAACATAAGCAACCACTAATTGACAGGGGTTAGAAAGAAACTTCATCCCATGGACAGGTTATTTCTTAATTGCTCACTCTGTGGTTTCTTGCACCTTTCTCATGTAGCACTGGTCACTGTCAGAGTCAGGATACTGTACTAGATGGACTGCTTGTGCGATTCAATATGGCAATTCCTCTGATTTGGACTCTCGTAGGTATCTGGTCATAAGGGAGCAATGAAGATTGCAGCTCTGCTGAAAACTAGAGGAGTGAAGCTTTCGTTCCTGCTAGATGAGGGAAGCGTTATCTTAGATGGGTTCTTGGTGGGAATAAAGAATCCAGTAGCAGTGTAAGTAAGGAAAGAAGAGAATTTAACACAATGGGCTTGATCCCTGGCTTTATGGGTAAGTATGAGAGACTCTGCTAGTTTGGACTAATGCAGCGGTGTCCATAATACAAAATAAAGGCCCTCTATGGCGTCTTAAAATGTGGCCTGCAGCTGCTCTTTTCTTCCTTGGTGAAGACACAGCCGATGAACTACAGGGTTTTATTGCTGGTGACTTGATTGCAGTTTCTGTTCATCTCAGTGAAAATATAAATACAAGCGAATGTTTGGGTTGTGTGCATATTTAATAATGAAGTACATTTACATACTTACATACATTTGTGTGTGGCTCTTAAGCTCCTGTCAGATTTTCATTGCAGCCCTCGGTGTTGCAAAGATTAGGCATCCTTAGCTAATGCATAGAGCACTTGGCTGGGAAACCCACCCTTAGGTTTTCATCCCACCAGTCACTGTATCACCCTCTTGTTATACCTCTTTGTTTACTTGAGTTGGTGAGTTTGGCTAGGTTACAGCTGAGTCACAGTGCTAAGGATGGAGATGCCCATATTTATACGTAGCTGTCTCCTAGGCTGTCATTTATAGCTCCCCAGGGATTTTATGTTTTTTTTCTTTAGATAAAAATTTAGTAACTTTGATGTGTAGTTGAGGTTTTGACAACAGAACCTGAGGCTGGTTCACCATTGTGGCAATCAGTGTGTCAGCCTCCTGACTGCTATTTGCTGGTTGTGCATATGGCAGGATGGGGCATGCAGTCAATGCTATTTCTCTTTGGAAAGCTTAGATAGCAACCCTGATTTACCTGTGAAGTGTTTATGTAACAAAAGTTTGTCTTTGGCATGCAGCTTGTAAGCTTGATTCATACCTTTTCTGAGGGAATGCAAAGGTGACCCTTTATCTTGAGTAGGAAAGAATGAGGAAATGGGCTATCTGTTGAGTTATGAATTCTGTCCCTTTCCCTCTGTGGTAGACAATCCTCTGAAGACCTGGTGGTTAATTTAGGAAGCCCTGTGATGAGTCAGTCTCATTTATCTGTTGTTCTAAAAAGCAGGGAAAAGACAACCAGGCGCTAATGGGATTTGGAATTGTGATATAAAGAACTCGGTGACAAAACAAATGTGATAAGCATGGGCACTATCAGACACTGTTGATAGAAGGGTCAGATCTGACTGCGTATAGGTGTTTCAGTTTTACAATCTATTTCCTTCTTCAAAGCTGCAATTCAGTCTTTGTGGGGAGCATTCTGGTTTTCATGCAGAACTGTAGTGAAAAAGAGACCCCCATAATCTTCGTGTTGGCTGTGGGAGCATATAAAATGGACAAGTGCATGGGCCAGTCTCCCAGTGGAAAATATAATACCTATATATTGAAATATGAATGCAGTTTAGCTTTAATAAGACAGCAATTGGCTCTTGACATCAAACAAGAATTAAAATGCTCTCATTTAAGCTTTTAAAAACACTGCATAGGATAAGTATTTCCTATTGTCAACCTCCACAGAGGTGTTTGTAATCATTCATTCATTTTAATTACCATGAAACGCTCTTGTTATACTTAAATGACATTTGTTTTTAAGACACTTGGTCTGTCAACAATACTGCAGCCGTGGTGCAAAATGTAAGCAAAGAGCCTTCCGACTGCACTTACTTTCAGTCTCTGAGCAGTGCTGTCACAAGCAGGGTACTGCAGCTGTGCCAGAGCAAGTGTGTTAGTTGTGTGATGTGAAATCTGGAGAAAGAGCTAAGACCTCAGTTCTCCTACCACTCAGGTGTGGCTTTAAATGCTTTTTGTTGCTGCCGCTGCTGCTGTTAGAGTATTTTTATTTGGTTTTAAAAAATAAGCATATCAGCTCCCTCTGTCTACAGCAGAGGTTCCCAAAGTGGGCGATACCGCCCCCTGGGGGGCGCTGGAACAATCCAGGGGGGCAGTAGTAGCCTCGGGTGCAATTGGGGGGGTGTTGAATAAAAATAAGGGGGCGGTGGAAGCATAAAGAAAGAATATAAGAAAATTTTGAAAAACCCTTCGTACATATTTCATCT